CGAGATTTCATTTTCGGGGAAACACCCTTACCGACCGCCATCCCAACGACCCGGTGCAGTTCTACGATGAGAAGGAGCGCCGGCTCCTGTGCCCACTCTGTGGGGTGCCCGAGATCCACAGGGGCACCCACCAGGCCGGCGCTCTCCACCGGGCCCGGGAGTCGGCCGCCGCCGCCAGGGCAGCCGTCTTGCGCCTCGCGGCCATAGACGAACACAACCTCCAGCGGGCCCTGGCGGTCGTCCGGCGCCTAAGACCCGCCCTCCTCCGCCCCCCCTCGCCGGCCGACATCGCAATTAACATTGACGAAAACGAAGAACCCTTCTAACCACCCCGTCAACTCCAACGAACTCGGGGGGGGGGGGGGGGGGGGGGGGGAAGTTTGTGGGCTCTGCGGCCCATCATGGGCCAAAAGAACGTGTGCTCCGCGCCCGGCGCGCAACGTGCGCGCGAGCCACGTTGGAGGCGCGGGGCTGGGCAGTCGGTTGACTGCCACCAGAAAGTAAAGGTGTGTTTTTTCGGAGATCTGCCTCGTTGGTCCTTCTTGCGGGTGAGCAGTAGCACCGAACCCTACAAACTTCATAGGTTTTTGCTCCGCAAAGGGTCAGCAGTAAAGCCCTCTTCGTTGTAGGCTCCAGCACTCCGTTTGCTTCGCAGTAGAATCCAAGTCGCTCTGCCCAGGGCGGCCACGCTGTTCCATCAAATTCTTCAGGCTTGCCCTGGGTAGCCATCGTTCACTCGCCCTTGTGGTGTCCGTTCTCCGACCTCGTCGCCAAAAGTGTAGTGTATTGCGAGTAAGACCCAGTTGCAGCCGTTACTCGCTCGACTCGTTGGTTTTAATCATGGCTCCCAACTGACCGAGACTCGTGCTCTTTCAAACCGCGCGCTCTGACCACGTGAAGACCGCGCGCTTCCCAACATGTCTTGCCATCTGCTATTAGCGCCGAGATGTTTCGGTGGCGCCCTCTCATGGTTTCCCTCCGTGACGTCACGACTGGGATTTGCCTTGCCGTGACGTCACCAGTTGTTATTCTGGCTACTTACCATCGGGTGCGACGACGAGTTGGATGGCGTGTTTAAAAAGCTGAGTAGAAGCTAGGAGACATCGCAATCCAAAACTAACACCGTCAAAGTTGACAATCTGACAGTGCTCATATGCCCATGGTTTGGCCAATCGTGGAAAGCTGACCACAGAGACGCTTTTGACGGCGCACATCTCTAATAGCATAAGCAGATACATCACAACTGGTAAAGCGGCCTTTGAGGCTATCAAGAATGAACTTTTGTTTACGAATAGTTACTTAACGTTTCGGAACGTTTTATTCATGATAACTGTGAATTATATAGAAACCATCCCCCACCTCACCAATACCTACATACCCCTACGAAACAACTTTATTTTTCCGCACTCTTTGTGGCTCACTACTACATTAAAAAGACTTCGTCGAAGGAAACAACGAAAATTTCAAGCATCCGAAATTTCAAACCTTGACACTAATTGTTCCGACTATCGTGATGCCGCCGGTACTTACAAAAAATGCTATTACAGAAGGGAAGGCTACTTACTTTTCTAAACCCTTATCATCCATACTAACAAACAATCCAAAACAGTTTTCGAATGTTATAAATCGAAACGGGAAGCCCGTAATATCTCTATTTGGCGATATAGGTGACCCTGTGTGTTTTAGTGATTGTGCATCGGCTTCCAACCTGGCATTTGTCGACTCATTCTCGGACATGTAATCGTCCCTTTTATCCCCATTGCAACAAAGTGAATACACACCCATCTACCCTATTTTAGTCACGTTGGTGGAATTTTTCGCGTGAATAATTATGTAAAATTAACTTGTTCAGCGGGAGTCGACACTACGCGCAGACAAATTGAGAGAAAGGAGGAGGCTAGAGCGCCCGGCGCCGCCAGAACGCCGAGTTCTGATTGGAATGTTTAGTGAATAGGATCTAAAGCTAGCGGCCTTTCTCTCCTCTGCACTCGTCGAACACATCTGAATTCAGCCGACGAGTACAATGGAGGCAAAGGCAGCTGATCGTTCCAACCAGTGATCGGCATTCTGACGTCTCTGTGCACTCTCGTCTCTTTCTCTCCTTCAGTTTCTCTCCGCATTCGTTCCAAGTTCCTAAACAAATACTGCAGAGTATTCTTCGATAATACCGGCAAAATATTTCAACAATCTCTTGGTCTTGGCTGTTTACCCAACGACTGGAAGCTAAGAAAGGTGATAGCGATGCAAAAACCTGGCGATCAGAACTGTCTTCTCTTTTACCTTATCGCGAACCAGTATACCATGCGAAGTCCCCGGCCTATCATATCTTCACATGTCGTAAATTTCTTGAAATTTTTTTTTCTCCGGCGCAACGGTTTCTGGAAAACGTTTTCCTGTGAAATCAGCTACTAACTTTCGCTCACGACATTCACGTCATTCTTGATTGTAGTTCCCAAGCTGATTGCATATATCTCGATTTTACCAAAGCATACGATAATGTGTCACATTACCTACTACTCCGTGAGCAAAGTTAACTAAATGCTGAATTAAGCATAGTTTCTTGGGTTCGTGCTTTTTTCATTAACTGGTTTCAATATGTATTCGTAAATGACAGCTCCTCACATCTAGTTTCTGTAACGTACGGGGTCCCTCAAGGTTCTGTTCTAGGTCCTATCCTTTTTCTTACAAATATCAACTACTTACTCTTCTTTCTTTTATCATCAATTAGCTCATTTTTTGATGACTGTGTTCGTTAGGTGACTAATGATTCTGATGTAACTTCTATCCTATATGATAGTAACCGCGTGCTTGAATGGTGGGACTTCTGGGCCATGGAACTTAACGCTAACAAATGTAAGGCAATGAGGGTCTCTCGACGTCATTAATGACGTCCCACCTTACTACCTAAACCACTTCGTTACAACAGGTATCATCATAAATATACTTGGCCATTCATATTTCATCTAACTTGTCTTGAAAAATTCATATTTAATACACACCAAGGAATGCCAATCGCATGTTAGGATTCATAAAACGAAAGTTTCCGTCTGTCCCCATGGCTCTAGAGCTACCTCTCAACAAAATTCTTGTTCGCTCCAAGCTGAAATATGCCCCCTCAATTTGGGGCCCCGTTACTGACACATTAACAGATTCACTTGAAGCGATACAAAATAGACCTCCTCGCTTCATACTTACTACCTACCATCGCACTACCAGCGTACTATCTCTGAAATGTAGTTTGAACCTGCCTAACCCCTCATCACGTAGAGAACTTACATGTTTGTATTTATTTCACAAAATCCATCATAATCCTCTTTTGCGTGAAAAACTACTAATACCTCCCTTCTACATAACACCGCATCTCAATCAACATCACACGATTGGCCTACCTTCTTGTAAAACTACAACTTTTCACAATTCATTCATACCCCGAACAACGTTTTTTTGGAACCTCCTTCCAGCATCCGTCGTACTTTTATTTGATGGTGACGCTCTGAAATCTGCCTTAACAATGTCAATATTTTAGTAACTCATTAACATATAATTATTGCACTCTTAGAATCCGTTCCCTTCCTCTTGTATCTATACCCGTAACCCACTCCCCTCCGCACTGCTCTTGTGACCTTGAGGGTATTTGAAATAAATAAATGAATAAACAAACAGAAACTTGAACCTCTCTAAGTGTGTGATTATGTTTATTCCAATTAAAATAACTTCCCAGTTGTTTGCATACGAACTAAGCGGACATACACTTAACAAAGCGTTCTTAACACTAACAGTTGGTCCTTAGGTTTTCAAACTTTCCTTGTTACTCTCACACTGTCTATATCTTACGTCAACATTTATGATGGGACTATGGCAAATAAAATCATTACTTATATTCTTTACCACACAAGTTAAACAATCTACTTCTCACGCATTTATACTGCATATTCCCGCGTGTTCATAATCCTTCCCTTGTTTTTATCTTTAAAACACATACTCGGAGTATCTTTTCAGTTTCTCCGGCCGCCTCGGTGGATCGGAAGGAATGGGTTGGCCTACAGATACTCAGTTGACGATTTGGAATTCCGGCCAAGGTACCCCCAATATGACGGAGGCTTACTGCGGAGAAAGCCTTGCGTAACTGAGGTTTTGGTTAAACCTAACGACTTCCCCATAGGGTCGATATTGATCGTCAGTCCTTCGTCGGGGTGAGCCGAATTTCCTCGCTTTTGCGCCATTAAAACATCAAACTTTATTTCTCTTTCTTTTTTTCTTTAATTTTTATCTGTTGTCAGCTCATATATTTGTACGTGAGCAAGTTTTCTTTCTAATGACGTTCAGAATAAAGACCGCATGTAGAACACGTGCGAATCAAAAAAAGAAATGCAGAAAATACAACACAAAATACTCATTGCATCTGATAAACCGATATCTTTTATCCTAATTGACTCACTAGTGGAAGCGCATGTTAGATTGGAACTAATTTATTGCAGGAATAAACACGTAACTTTTAACAGAGCCGAGTTTTTTTTTTTTTTTGTGAAGCAGTGTTTGAATGATAGAGACGATATTTGTGTTCCGTGGTCGCTTCATTTGATATGCGATATTTGTTAGAGATTGAAGTTCGCATATTGTGAGATAGGTCAGGCGGCGAAGCATACTGGCAAAGGGCAAACGATCTAATCTGAACAGCTATTGTTTAGGCTCCAGCGCGAGAGACCGAGAGCGAGTGCCTCCGTTCGCTCCACTAGCAAGATGATGACGGTAATAGTTATGAATATTCCGGAATCGGAAGACATGTTATTGGTTGCTGTTTGCTGGGGTCATCAACATAATGAGGACACTGACTATATTTAATTGCGTATGCAGACTTCCCTTGTCTGCTGTCAAGTGGCACGGCAGCTTCTATTCCCGCTTTGTGAACTATTCGCAACAAGAGTGTGATTACACACGTGCATGATCATTCAGCACTGATTTGCGACAAACGCAGGGCGATCTCCAGCAGTATCCAGGATCTGACGGGCTTTCTGCAGGATAGGTGGTGACTGGCGTTCAACATGAAGGTGGAAAATCACTTGAGGGTCAGCAGCTTCAACGTAAGAGCTTGGGATATTTATGCACGTTCATCTATGTAATTTAAGGACCATTTAATATCACCACCACAATAAAAAAAAAGACCGCATGAAGGAAAAAATGTTAATACGTGTTTCAACGACGTTTCCTTTGAACTAAACTCATCTATTTGAGTAAAAAATTCATTTCGAGGAAATTCGATTAAACTTCCTATCCATCAGGCGGATCAGTAAGCAAGCATAGCTTCCCTCTCTTCGTGAAAACCTGTCTTGTCGTTTATGATCCCTTGATTGAGTCGTCCTTCGTGTTGGATTTTAATATGAGGCATGTTTGGATGCCACTTTTAAGACGAAATATTTTCTATAGAGGGTGTCCAATTTTAATTCGAGCATACTTAAAAAAAATAGATGAAAGGCTTGTACCGTCTTCACCATGCATTTATTACATACTGTGGACATTAGAAGATGGAATAATTGTCAAGGTAAGTTGACGAACCAACTAGAATTTGTGAATTAACGTTTTAATCATTGGTTTTATGGGTCCTTTCGGAGCTGCAGCATTGACGGACATTGCTATTCGAGGCTAGAAGAATTAAAATAATTTGCGAAACGGTAATAATTTCTTAGATATTAATCAAACAATATGCGTATATTCTCGCCCAATTAGGAAATTGTGCCTAAAAAGAGCGCCGCAAGCCCTGCCTCAACCACGTTTGGAAAGTTCACGTAGTTATTTCAACCGTGTCGTCACTATCTCGGAAGCATGTCGTTCTTTACTGCGCCGACGACACAAGTGACGACGTGACTGAAACGACTACGCCAGTCTTCTCAGCGGCATTTTTACATTGGTTAAAACGAGCGAAAATTGATCGGCTTATATATTAAAAAACGTGACATTTTAGCAAATTAATTAAATTGGTGTGGCCCTCAATTGTAATGGTCGTTTATAGTGAAACAGCAACATGACCCCTAAAACCAAAAATTACAAAGTCAATTAACATATCTTAGTTAATTAGTTATTGTACCATGACGATTATCCCCTCATCTAAGGTATGCCTAGCCTGATAAATACATTGAGGCCGGCAATACTGTAACTGTCAGACTCTTTTGTAGGAAAACCTGTTCGAATTAAAAATCAGACGCCGTGTATATCTCAACTGTTTTCCGTTGTGAGTACCCCTACTATTAAAGTAAGTTAATTCAAATCTTTTTTCATGAAACGTTAGTTGACGTCCGTAAGGAGGTGCAAATTTGTTGACATTTCAATTATTCCCTACACTCGTTCCACATTACTACTAAGAAAAGAAAGAGCATCATTTGGATTCCAGACTTCGTAAAAGTGCGAAATACGAACCTCAGCCAACTCGTGATGTTTACGAGTGGAAGATCCGAATGTGCCAAGCGCTTCAACTATGTGCAGTATGCCCCTTACCACGTGACCGCAAAGCTGGGTCACAATGTACCCGTTCAAGGAGTCTGCGGGGAAATCCTGACCGCCATTGCTCGGTCCATGAGAATGAAGTGAGTACACGTAAAAGCTGTCTTTATGGTTCTTACTTACTTAATATCTATATTGCTTTTTAGGTAGAAGTCCCGAAAGAAGAAGATTTAGTAACAATAAACTTACTTTCAGCTGAAATGGAGCGCAGTTTACGCCCTCTAGGCCACTGATGGCCGCTGAAAAAATCAGGACGGTGCCGGATTCGATTCCAGGACCTCTTCAAGGCTAGCGGAGTTCTCTACGAACTGAGATAACCAAGGGCTAGCAGTCAGGAAAGGAAACAGGTGTTAACAGTGATCTCCAGCAGTACGTAGACTGCCAGCTGCTGGTTAGCTCAGTTTCTAGAGCGCCCCGCTAGTCTTGGACAGGTCCCTGGACTGAATCCCGAGCCAGACAGGGTTTTTCAGCGACCATCAGTCGCCTAGAGGGTGCGAGTTCCACTCCATTTCAGTTGGAAGCCAAATTATTTTTGCTTCAACAACACATTTTTAACAAAGCTGAGGGATGTCTCCATCCGTCTACGTTTTGGTACGCAGCGTGCTGGATGAATGGACGGACAAAATTGGTCCGTTTGAATCGGGTGACGTCTTGCGTCAACTACCCGTGGCACCTCGCCCAACGTCGCGGGGAGCGACGGGTCAGCGGAAGAGACCAGTTTAGTTATCGCTGTTATTTGTAACGTGATAATAAATTGTTGTATCATGAACTTAAAAAACCGAGATTAGGTTCAAAAGTACACGCGTCGTGAGTGGATTTCGGGTTTTCACCGATAGTATCCAAGAAGCTTGGAGCATGAATTCGTTCGAGGAACACAAGAGCCAACTACTTTCTGTCAAAAAGGTTGTTTCAAAGCTGCTGAATACATGCTTTATTTTGATCAAACACATACTTGTAAGGACTATTTCATCATATGAACAGCGTTCCTGAATAAATTTGAATTTTACCAATAGTACCAATATTTGATTAATCGAATTATCTAAAAACTTGAATACTGGGAATTCGAAGGTCAAATCGAGTTATCGGGACAATCCTTATTCGATTTGTACTCAAAGGTCGAATATCCGCATATCCCTCACAAAAACTCATGTTTCTTATTGGTCGAAAAGCATTCAATTGGCAAGTTTTAGACCAGTGCATGTTGAACACTAACTCAACTCTGGCGAAAAGACGGTGAGAGTGCAGGCGAGCTGGTGGTAGCTAATCATGTCGTATTACACCTGAGACTGCGGTGGAAGAAATCGGAAGAACTTTCAGTAGAAGGAACAGACACAGAGAACGTCTCAAACTGAGCTGAGTTTGAGACGTTCTCTGTGTCTGTTCCTTCTACTGAAAGTTCTTCCGATTTCTTCCACCGCAGTCTCAGGTGTAATACGACATGATCAACTCCGGCGTCAGGTTACTGCGGCGGCGCTGCTGTCCCGCACTACGCATGCGCAGGCGCTTTATCTTCCGCCAATTTTGTTTCTGTGCACGCTTGTATACAGCGCGTTAGCGTATGCACCGAAGAATACAGCGCATCATTATCGAGTTATACAGTAGCATGCCCAAAAGGCCTTGCTTACGCAAAGAAATGCGGAGCGCAAGTTCGTCTGCTTCTTTCGCAGGGTTTGTGGTGACGTCAAAACGCCGAGCTCCGATTTGCATTGATTGAAGAAATGTGGGTAGACCTCAGTGCAGCTTGCTTTGAGGTCTACACACTGTTCTTCAATCAGAGCCAATCAGAGCTCTACGTTCTGACTTCACAACAACCCCTACAAAGGAAGCAGACAAACTTCCGTAACGCATAGCTTCGGCGCCATGCGCTAATCCAAAACGTGGTTACGGCTCGGTACATGCGCAATGGCGACGACACCATTTCTTTGCGTATGCGAAGCTTATGTGCAGCAATTCTAAACCTTACTAAGTTGTTCCTTCGATGAGATATTATGATAGCAGTACATGAAAGTTTCTTCCGCATTGCTAAAGCGCCACGTGTCGAATATGACACTGTCTGTTTTGTTGGAACGTAAGTTACAGCATCGCCTTTCCAACGGACTCCTTTTGGGGACTCCGGAAGCCTGATGGCAACTGGACTGGGATCATAGGAATGTTGCAACGGGACGTGAGTTCTTTTTTTTTTTCTCCTTGTCGAGTAAACCCAAACATTGGGGCGGTCATCCTAGCCAACAAGCTGTATTCTCGTTTCCCCCAAATATGTTTAAAAAAGGACAGTAGAAACTAAGTCCCTGTGACCTTTACGAAGGTATAAACAAAATTTCTGTCAGGACGCTTTAGTTTTCTTTAATATGTACCTAAGCTCCATGCTACTACTTGTTCCAGCCATGATGATAATATGCAATAAAAAGTGGCGACTGCACATTAAGGATTAAAACCATCCTTATGATTCTCAATAATTCATTCTTTTTTGGTACGCGCACAAGTATGGCTAACCGTGGCCTGTTTCGGTTTATGTTCAACCTAATTATAGAAATATATTTCAACCTAATTATAGAATATATAGTGTATATAACAAATGTATCATGGATCACTTTTTTAATAAAAATGTATAATTTGTTAAGAATATGCGGCAGTTTTTTACATAGGTTAGTGTTGTTATTATATAAAACCTTAACGCGCAGATCTCTATATTTGTGACTGTACATGTAATTTTAAGGCATAAGTTTTGGCATTTGAGGCATATTACTGCTCATCAAGGTGTCAGCAACCAGAAAACGCTTTTCAGTAACTCGTAAATTAGCCAACTTTTGAAAGCGTTCGGCTTCTCAAAATAGTATTGTAAAAACTCTCAAGCAGACATGAATGAGTGCTCTGTCCTGTCCTTTCTTCTCTCCTTAATCATGAATATTTCAATGGGGCTCGCTCAGATTGGAATCCCATATCTTGTCGCTAATATTCTGATTAAGTGTCTGTATTTATTAATTTAGTGGTTCTATACAAAAGGCACCCTTTAGCTTACCTGAATTACGGAAATCTGGGAGTTCATTTGGATTTTCAAAAGTACGTTTTTGATACTAACAAAGATTCAACACCCTTAAAGTCTTTCATTCGATTTAGTGAATAGATACACCTTTTTTAATTATCGCGCCTGTTAATGCTAAGAAACTAAAACGTATAACAAGGTGGAGGCGACGATTTAAGACCCGTAAGAGAGCCTTTTTGTTCTTGTAAATTTTAAATTTCGTGGCAACTGCAATAGTTTATTCAATACTCCTCAGCAATAATCTTTCAGCAAGTACCACTTTCTCCAAATGTTCCAAGAGGAAAAAAACATGCGAATACAAGTGAAGGTTTTTAAACCACAGAGACACACATAGAGTGATTAGCGACCAGGCTAATTATGTCGAGGGACACATTGCGCTTGAATATTTTTTTAATGTCCACGCGAAGAGCTCAGGCCGTTAGTTGTTTTAATTGTAACGCTTGCAGGAGGCCGACCTGGCTCTTTCCGTGATCAACCCGACGAGCGAAAAGAAAGACGTGGCCGTGGCAACAGAGTCTATAGTGCCCATTGAACTGGTCATCATGGCTGGGCGTCTGTCTCGTCATGAGAGTGACATTTTTGGGCTTATACAAATATTTTCATGGCAAGTAAGTATCAAGGACACGTACTATCTGGACATAGATAAAATACCACTGAGTGAACGTAAAATGTAACAAAGAGTATTTGAAGTATTTCGGAATTTTATGCCTATGTTAGTAAAAGCGTTGGTAAACTTTAGAAAATATACGGTGGCGACAACAAAACCTAGCGGTGTAAAACGAACTAAAAAGAATCGGCGCTTGCACGTAGAAGAAAAGCAAAACTTCGACCAAATTCGCAAATCATTGGTGGATTTTACCTTGCAAAATTTCAAGGTGTAGCTCCTTTCCTGTAAAAATTAAATCAACAAACTTTCCATGATCAATGGCGGATGTGTTCGCAGATGACCCAGATATCGATTTCCGTGACTTCCGGTGCACCCTCTCGATAGGTGCAGCGAGCAGTCGACGCACCCTTTCGTTTGTTCGCATTATTGCGCCATCGCTAGCTCCATCGTCTGCGAGTGCGTCCGCCTCTAACCTTGGCAAGTTGGATGATGTTTAGAGAAACAGAGCTACGTCTTGAAAGTATACAAAGTAAAACCCACCGATCAATTTTACATTCGGTGGAAGTTTGAGCTTGCTATGTGTAGGCGACGATTTTTCCCGTTCGTCGTACTGCGCTAGGATCCACAGAGGCCTCCGTATATAAAACGGTTTAAGGTGAAAAAAAAGTGTGCAGTGGTCTTAAAATTCAAGTGACAGATTAAAAGAAGCGCGGTCACAAATTTTTTTAGAAATTAATTAATATTTGAATTATTGGAACACATAAAAGCAAGTAACGGGGAGAATTGTCTTGAATTATTGTGTGTCCTGCATTATGCGCAATATCTCAGAAATATTTCAGGCGGTTGCTTATAATCTCTTTTTTTTTTTTGTCCAGACACAAGACAATCTTTTTTCACTTTTGAAGTTCAGTAAGTGCAAGTTATTTTCTTTTATTTATATTTTCAATTACTGAAACCACCGCAGCTCCTTCTCTTTCGTGTCTATCGTCTTAGGTACCTATTTCTCTAGAATTGCAGTCACTGAAGATATATTTTAAGCTTCTTAGTATTAAATCGTGATTAACCCATTGTACTCTCTCGTGGATGTGTTACTCTTGCTAATGTCTGCTACGTTGATTAATGGAAGATAAGAATGACAGCGAACACTCACATTACAAATAAATAAAACATCAGACGGGTTAGCCGCCCTCTTTTAAACTGGAACTGAACCTCACAAAACGTGTTGTTTTGTGAGGTTTGGTTTACGAAAATTTCCAATCCTCATTTTTTATGTAATGACCTTAACCCTCGCTGGAGCACACGGTTCACGGTCAGCCGTTGTGCCTCCGAATCCACAAGGAGAAGATTACCCCACCTTCGGGAGCGGCACGAGGAGAGGCTAACGCCACTCTTCCGAAAAGCACGTGCTCTCGCCCTCTCACGGCACATGTTCCACGTGGAGCACAGCACAGTTATATGTATTCTTCAAAAAAGGAGCGACGCAAGATGGCTTCGAATGATCGGAATGCCAACAAATACGCTGCTGGTCGCATATGTTTATGCTTAAGCATTATGCCGGCCGCCGCCGAATATCTTAAAATGTTCGAAATCTCAAAAGTGTTTCTAAAAGGAAATGAACAAAAAAAAAGAGTAAAGACTGCAAACTGACAGTGCTGAGTAAATTTATTATCATGATCAAGGCAAATGTCAAACCCATCACACGCAATTTTTAACCGACCTCAGCTCGGGTTTGTACCAAGCGGCACGAAACGTTCGTGGGTTCGGAAGAACACACGAACAGAAAACAACTTCATATGCTCGTAAAAACAGCTGTAATTATCAGAACGTACGTGACACTCCTTCCTCGCTTAGGCCTTAACGCTCGAAGAACAACATGACGAAATGAGGAGCTAGAGAATATTACTTTTTGTGGATTTTCGCAATTGATGTCGCCTGGTGAATGCCGTCCCGTAGTGATTCTTGAACTGTGCTTTACGCCTGCACTCTCTTGAAGCAATACCCCACCATACACGAAGTGATATAAACAATAAAAATTGCCAATAATTACCAAGGTGTGCGTCCCGTCTTGGTCAGCGTCACCGGGAGTAGCGTCTGAGCTACAAGCTGGATTCCGGCCGAATTCTTTGATTTCGACGGAACAGGTTTTCTCGGAATCCAATACGGACCTGAAGCCAGCGCTTCTCTAAAACGACGAACTGAAGTCGAACGTGTTGACTTCACCCGCCCATCGGCAGACGCACGCTCCACAAATGTAGATCCTAGAGCGCGCCAAAACGACGATCGGAGATTGCCATTCGTGACTTCAGACTGACTTTAGACCTTTACTAACATTTCTCTAGCGCGTATTGTGCGTGGCCTAGCTCCCCTCTATCTCGTTAGTAAAACTTTCTGGAAACGCCATTTAAAAAAACCAATCAAATAACCGTTTTTGTAGTGTTGTTATCAAGGTGCTGCGTTGTAAGTACAGCGCCATATGCTAAAACCTGAAGGCAGTTCCGCATCCTTCTTTGTAACCTCTTCTCAATGTCACCTTAGGTATGGACCTGCTTCGTTTGTGCCATGATCTTATCAGCCATCACATGGGCACTCAGCGACATTGTCCACTCACGGAAACAACCAGGGCATAATTTAAGCTTTTTGTCGACATTCTTCGATCACCTGTGGTTGTTCATTGGAAACACCTGTGTTGAAGGTATGAGACCCGCTTTCATTACAAATTCTATAACACAACGTTGTTTTCCTTGTATGGATAAAAATAGGTCATTACATCGCATTGCGAAGTGCACCAACGTATTAATGCGCGTACATCTTGACCATGTAAGAAGTTCTAACGGGGGAGTCAACCGCCGATCAGACCAATTCGCTTAATTAGAGCTTTAAACGTCTAGTTCAATTTCGTTATAGTGCAGCTAGGCACTGATCAATTACCTTTAGCTTTAGGTTAGATCTACTGTGTTTCTATTAAAGTGTCGTTGGTAGTGGTGTTGAGAATGCGCCCGTGGCTAAAATCAATTGTTAGTTAAAAGGATCTTTGCTTTCCGCCATTAATGAAGAATCAAATTTAGGGTCTGAAGACATTACACAATGAAATAAAACGTCATGCCTTCCATAACAAAATAGGTACGTGACAATTTGATTTCAATTATGTAGAGTATTGCCAAAAAAGAAGCGCATGGTGATAACTCATGTTCTCGGCAAAAACAATATTTTTCTTTTAGTACTCACGTTTTTGCTTCCCAATGTACTGGAGTAAAGAAGCGCGTACAAAGCAGAGGCGTCGTATAATGAGTAAAATCCATTCAGAAAAATCAAGAACGATATTCGCGAGAGAAGGCACCGAGGCTTCTAACTATTACAGTACTTTGTTTCTCCCTAAGTCCAAACGCTGCCGACGCTACGAACTGCTGAGACAGATCTGACAGCCTCAAATAGAGCACCATACATGAGGGGGTTCGTCTTGTTTCTGTACGTGTTTTATTATCGCTGAACCAATCTTAAAAATAAAAGACCGATTAACTTGCGCTTTCGTCGCTGCATAATTCTTCCAATACTTCGCAGCGCCGTCTAACGAAACATATTGTAATTTATCGTATACAAACTTAGGAGCATAATTTTGTTTTAATTTATTATGAGACGAGCGTTAATTCGGTAAGAATAAAGAGTTGTAATTTATTACAACAATCTAGAAATTTTCACGGGTGAAAGGGGGGGGGGGGGTGGCACTCAGCATAAACCTGCAGATGATTCAAGTGGTAGCGTGACGAAAATCAAAGTAACACAAAATGAAAGGCCCTCAGCGTCAAGGCAGCACCCCCACGGAACCGCAAGCTTTTAACACGAACACAAAAAATAAGGACCTTTTCTTCAGCGCACTTGTAAAATATTGTTCTTATCTACTTTTGACAAGCCTCCATGTCCTCCTTGCTAGCATTCCGGAGAGAAGAGGAAGGGTGCAATCCCCCAACGACTGAAATTTCATCCAGACGGAGCACTCGTGTCCGATGGCACCGTTCGTAGTACGGAAGTACGCTAGTCGTTGATTACACGTAAATCAAGTCAACGTGGTCTTAGAATTTTTAGGACATACGAAAGTACGCTAGTCATGAATTACACGTAGCTCAAGTGAATGTGATCTTACAGTTTTGCAGGACACACTGATTTGTGTAAGCTGTGACAAAAATGTAAGAAGCATCCTGCATTCAACTAAAGCTAGTCATGTTGAAGTTTGTTCCTTTTTGTGCGACTACGCTTCTTGTTCTTGTTCTGTAACTGCTCTATTATGATGCCGTGCTCTGTTTTTTTTTTTTTTTTTCCTGTTTACTGGTTTGTTGGCTATTTTGACTCTCGGCTGATTGGACCACGCCGCTCCAACGCGTACTGTACACCACACACTTTTTTTTTTTTGTTATTTTAGTCAAGGGTGAATATTTTCTTGAGCGCCAGTCATCTATCGACTTAACAGAAGTTTTTAACTGATATTCATTTCGATTATTTTTCTTCATTCGATTTCAGCGTCTCCTTCCACCCCAAACCGCGATTCAGCACGGATCGTCGTAGGGTCGTTCTGGCTGGTTGTGATTATCCTTACGACAGGCTTCGCGGGTATGATGAAGGCAATGATGATGGTCAAAAACGAGGCCGACCGCATCGACAGCATAAGAGACCTGTCCCTCAGGCCCTGGATGAAGCCATACCTTCCTGCCGGAGGCGCCGCTGTGTCCTCAATACGCGTGAGAGAATCCTTAGCTCTGAATGTAAATCTATATATAGTGATGTCAACAGTTTCTTTTACTGAAAAACTATATTTTAATGTCTGATTATTTTTGGTACTTGCCTTGTGAAAACAAGAACGCTTGAAACATATCCGAATTCAACTGTAGAATTAATTCGTTCAAATACTTGTTTTTTGTTTGTACAAATAAAAAACGGAATCGGCTACATAACAATGCTGTTCAGGTAGAATCGAATAACATTTTTATTAAGTTGTTAAACGACCGTGATTCATGCTTGCTTTCCTATGTTATAGAATATTGTGATGTTTGCCTTTCTTTGAGTGTCAAGATTATTAATGCCGATTCCTTAGCGTGTTGCAGCAGGATGTGCATCTAGAAAAAAATGATAAATTATTTCGACGACCCTTTCTGCTATAAGCCCTTGGGGTGCTGATGGATTCCCCGAATAGACTTCATTTTTTTATTGTACCCTCATAGCCCTAAGGCATTACAGAAGGAGATAACAGCAAGAACAACAAAATACAAATTTGAGAGACTCAATAACAAGAAGGTTATATCAATACAAAACCATATTAGGCACTCTCGTCAAAAAAAATGATTGGTGATGGCATACTCGAAAAGCTCAGTGTCTGTTATGGCAGTCATCGACCCGGGAAGGTGGTTCCAATCCTGGGATGTACGAGGGACGAAATATGAATAAAACGCTGTCGTGATAGAACTTGGGTTGACCACTTTATATTGATGATCAAGACGAGACGAAACATAAAATGCACGAGAGATTAGTGGGTGGCTTAGTATAGATTTTCGCTAAGACATATTTTGAAACAAAGCCGAGAAACGGTTCGACGTATAGAGAAAGGTGTCAATGAAATAGTATTTTTTATAAAGGTGGCACTGGACGTGCGGTAATGGTTACGAAGGATAAAACGAACAGACTTGTTGTAAATTGCTTCTAATGTAGATGTAAGAGTTGCTTGTTCGGGATCTCATAGAAAAGCTGCATATTCCAACTTGGGGCGAATTAAGGGTTTGTAACTTCTTCTCTTCTGTGCAACATCGGTTAATGGAATATTGCGTTTAATGTAGCCTTACATGCGGATAGCGCTATAAGAAATATGCTGTTTCCCGCCCCAGGTTAGAAGTTATATGTGCGCCGAAACGTTCATTTGATGATACTGGCCCTAATTGGACATTACTTAAGAGGTATAGTTAGGATAGTCATGCGATTGGCGAGACACCCGCATGGCCATGCATTTGTTAGTGTTAAGACTCATATGCCATGCATTTGTTAGTGTTAAAACGCATAGACCATGCATTGGTAGACAGTGTTAACGTCTGATTGGAGTTTAGAAGTATCATTATGATCTAGAAGTTTACGATAAATCACACAGTCATCAGCGAATACACAGATAGGTGAGAAGACATTAATCGGAAAGTCATTAATATAACGTAAAAATAGTAGAGGCCCTAAGACTGATCCTTGTGAAACACTGTAAGTAACAGTGACAGTTGAGGACTTACTATTATTTTCAACAACAAATTGTGACCATTGAATTCGAAAACTTTCAATTCATACAAGAACGCGTTAGCGTCAATGTTAAGTTTGCAAAGCTTTAGTAGCAAAAGTTTGTGAGAGACTTCGTCAAATGCCTCTGCGAAATCCAGAAAAATGTAGTCCGCCTGCGATCTTTGGTCTAGAATCCTATGAAGATCATGAGTGAATGATAATAGCTGCGTCTCTCATGAAAATGTTTTTCTGAAAACCATGATGGGCAGTGCTGAAAAAGTTGTTGGATTCTAAAAGTTAACAAGGTTAGAGAATATGACATGTTCGAGAAGTTTATAGGGAACACTGGTTGTACAAGTCGGACGATAATTGGGAGAGAAATGTTTGTCACCAGCCTTGTGAATGGGTGCCACCTTTCCTATCTTCCAGTCCAATGGGAGAACACTTTGTTGAATAGATTGCTCAAACACTTTTGTTAATATAAAAGAAGAGTAATGTTCAGTATTTTTCAAAAAATTTGGGGGGCGCTGCGAGCGGTGGTCGGAGGCGGACGTGTGTCGCGTCGGCTCCGCGTTACTGTGCTCATTTGTGCGGTGTTTCTGGCTCTATTTTCTTGAAAGTGGTGTCAAAGTGTCCGGCTCGTCGAGAGGAACTCATCGATATCGGTGGTGAGTCATTCCATCGATTTATTGGGACTTTACGGACTTGGAAAGGTGGTGACGGCGAGGCGGGGGCAGTTAGGCCTAACCGAGTACGGGAAGGTAGGCCTAACACCGGCGTGGTGGCGACGGAGGTGCAAGGGGACGGCATGGAGGCTGATGTCGGCCGGAATGCTGGGAATATGGTCGTGGAAGTGCCCGGAGAAGAATTGGATCCGGAGGATTGTGCGGGTTGGATGAAAGTGCGCACGAATGGAAGATCGGACGGCTCTGCGGAGGCTAGACCTAATTCCCATGTGGCCAGGCGGGTGATAGAGAGAATAGAGAGGGGAGCCAAGATGCCGAGGGTATTGCCCCGGGAGGCCATTAAGGTGATCATGAGGCCAAGAGGAGGTCTGGATCTGTCCAGGGTGTCTATCGTGAAAGTGATGTGTGCGATTGGCAAGGCGGCGCGTGTGGAGATGGAGGATATGGGCAAGGATACGTTATGCCCGAATGTTCAACAGAACATTGTGGTGGTGTGCACTGAGGATGAACAGCGGGCTAGGAGATATGCGAACGTGGAGGTGTTGGTGGTGGAAGGGAAGAGCTTCGAGACGAAGGCGTACGTGGCGGCTCCGTATGGGACGACGAAGGGAGTCATCAGAGGTGTGCCGTTGGAGCATTCGGCGGAGGACATTGACAGGAACGTGGTGGGCCCGAGGAATCCGACTGCGAGGGCGACACAGCGCATTGGATCGTCGGCTACGGTCATTGTGGTCTTTGAAGGTGAAGTGGTGCCAAGACAAGTGTATTATGGTGGAGGAGTTTTGAGATGTTCTTTGTATAGGAAGCATTTTGAGGTCTGTTTTGTGTGTGGGAGGGTAGGACATCGCTCGGATGTCTGCCCTACCCCGGAGATGAAGCGGTGTATGGGGTGTGGGGTTAGTGGGCAACAGGAGCACGAGTGCACCCCTAGGTGCAAGCTATGTGGGGGACAACACGTGACCGGGGATAGGGTGTGTAGGAATAGGTTCCGCACACCGTATATTGTACGGAAAAGGTTGTGGGAACGTAAAGAGTTGGATCATGAGTCGAGAGGGGGCTCCCTTTCCGGTGCAGGGGCTCTGAGGGGAGAAGATTTTCCGGACTTGGGAGGGTCCAGGTCGGTTTCGAGGGAAAGGGGGGATAGTAGGTCGAGGAGTAGGAGCAGAGGGGAGGAAAGACAGGTGTCATGGGCACAGGTGGTGAAGTCGGATGATGAGGAGATGGAAAAGCTCAGGGAGGATAATAGGCGGCAGGCCGGGGAGATCATGGAGCTGAGGAAGGAGAACAAAGGGCTGATGGAGAAGGTTGAGGAGCTCACCGGGGTTATTAAGCAATTGGTGGCTAAGGTGGAGAAGATTGCGGCGGAGGGGGAGCCTTCTCATCTGGGGGCGCCACCGGCTAAGAGAAAGAGTGCGGGGGGTGGAGGTGGTAGTGATGTGTCGGGAATGGAGAAGCAGATAATAGATTTGAATGAGAGGGTGGTGCGGCAGGAGGGAGGGTTGAGGAAGGTGAATGAGAAGTTGGATGAGGTGGCAAGGGTTGTCATGGGGATTGAGTCGTTCTTAACACAATGGAAGAAGTAGTTAAGGTTTGGGTTTGGAATTGCAATGGATACAAGGGCAGGAAGGCGGTGCTTCAGCAATATGTGCAGGCGGCAGAGGACAAGCCGGATGTCATTATGTTACAGGAGGTGGGGCCGAATGATGTGGGGCTTTCGGGATACGTGGCCTATGGGGTGAAGGTAGTGTCAAAGGGGGGTAGTAGGGGTGTTTGTACGTTGGTTAGACGGGGGTTGCCGGTGGTGGAAGGGAAGTTGGAGGGGGAGAAGAATCTGGAGTTTCTGGCCTTGGAGGTGGTGTTTGGCAAGAGTGGTGTTTGTTTGTGTAATGTGTACAACAGCCCAAAGTATGGGAGGCAGAGGTTTGGGAAACTTTTCAGGGAATGTGTGAGATGGGCTGGGGATGGGGGCCTGGTGGTGGCTGGGGATTTCAATGCGAGACATGAGGAGTTTGGGTATGTGGACAACACGGCTAAGGGGAGGAATTTGTTGAGGGACTCAGAGGATGTAGGCTTGATTTTGGTGTCGGATTCTCGGCATCCCACGTTGATGGCTAAGACGGCGGTGCAGAGAGAGACGATGCCGGATTTGGCTTTTGTTAGGGGGGTAGATGTGGAGTGGAGAAATACGGGCATGGATTTGGGCAGTGATCACAGGGTAGTAGAGGTTTTGGTACATTTGGAGGGCAGAAGAAAGGGGAAGAGGATGCACAAGGTGGTGGATTGGGGCGCCTTTAGGAGGGGTGGTGATATGGGGGGGGGTTGTCGATGTGAAGGGGTGGTCTGAGGCAGTTGTAAAAGCGGCGAGGGAAGCGAGTAGAGAGGTGGAGGTGGATGCAGAGTTGGAGGGGGAATTGGATAGCAGGTTGGTAGGTTGATGGAGGCGAAGGAGGCGTTGTATCGCAGGTGGAGGGAACATAGGGGTAATAGGAGGTTGCGGAAGAGGGTAGCGGAGATGAATAGAGAAATTGCAAGGTACAGTGAAGAACTGGCGAGGCAGCAGTGGGACGATGTGTGCGTAAGGGCGGGAGGTAGGTTGCAGATGGGGGAAACATGGAGGTTGTTAAGGCATTTATTGGATGGGACGCGGACTCGTAGTTATCCAAGGGGAAGGTTAGGTGAGGCTCTGTATGGAGCTAGGAAGGAATTGGGGGAGGAGGGGTTAAGGAGGGCTCTGATGGACAAGTACCTTCCTAGGGTGGGGGGAGTGAATTTTCCGGGCTATAAGGGGGAGGTGAATGAGGATCTGGATAGGGCTGTGGAGACGTGGGAAGTGAGGGCGGCGTTGCAGAGGGTGAAAACGAGGTCTGCGTCAGGGCCGGATGGGGTTAGTAACAATATGCTGCGTAACTTGGGGGAAGAAGCTGTTGAGGTGCTCACGGGGCTGTTTAATAGGTGTTGGGAGAGCGGGGAGGTGCCTGAAGAATGGAAAACGGCTAGGATGGTGTTGTTGGCTAAGCCGAATAAACCGGTGGGGGTGCAGAATTTGAGACCGATTTCGCTTACGTCGTGTGTTGGTAAGGTTTTGGAGCACGTGGTATTGCGAAGGTGGAATAATTTTCTGGAAGGGAGGGGGGTGTTTAGTGATACTATGTTCGGATTTAGGGAGGGGTTGTGTGCACAGGATGCAATGTTGTTACTTAAGCATGAGGTTGTGCAGTCGAGGAAAGTGGGGGTTGTGTTGGGATTGAATCTCAAGAGTGCCTTTGATAGGGTGCAGCATTCGGCCATATTAGAAAGAATGTCGGAGTTGGGGTTGGGGAAGAGGAGCTATGAGTATGTGAGGAGCTTCTTGACTGGGAGGAGCGCGGAATTGGTTGCTGGGGAGTACGAGGTTGGGAAGAGGGGGTTGGGATGTATAGGTACGCCGCAAGGCGCGGTTATCTCGCCGATGTTGTTTAATTTGGTCATGGCAAAGGTGGGGAAGAGGTTAACGAGAGAAGGGATCGGTCACTCCATTTATGCGGATGACTTGACGTTGTGGTGTGTTGGTAAGGGCGTGGAGGAGACTAGAGATACGTTGCAACGAGGGATTGATGCTATTGAGGAAGAGTTGGCGGGTACAGGGTTGGAGTGCAATCATGAGAAATCGGCGTATGTTGTGGTGGGGCCGAGGAGTAGGAGATGGCAGGATGTGGAGTTGAGGGCGAATGGGGGAATGATACCTAGAGTTAAGGAGCTGAGAGTGTTGGGACTGTGGTTACAGGAGGCTAGGGGTAATGGCGTGATGTTGGATAAGTTGCAAAGGAAGGTCGGGGCAGCGATGCAGATGGTTAGGAGGGTGGCTAATAGGAGGAGGGGTATGAAGGAGGAGAGTGTTTTGAGGCTGGTGCAGGCTTTTGGGATGAGCCACATCGCGTATGTGGCTGGGTATCTGAAGTGGGGGGTGACGGAGAAAGGGAAGATTAATGCTCTGATACGTAGGATATATAAGGCGGCGATTGGGTTGCTGGCATGTACTAGCACGGAGATGATGGAGCGATTGGTTGTGCATAATACATTGGAAGAGGTGATAGAAGCGCAGAGGATCTCGCAGACGGAGAGGTTGAGGGGGTCTGCGGTGGGGCGTAGGGTGTTGAGCAGGGTGGGGGTGGGTGCTGAGGCTGGCAGGGGGGGATTGGAAAGGATTAAGGATGAGGACATGAGGAGGTTGAGGGTTAGGCCGGTGCCGAGGCACATGCATCCGGAACGGGATAAGGGGCGTAGGCAGGCAAGGGCGCAGGCGCTGTATAGGCTGTATGGGAAGGAGGAGGGTAGTGTTTATGTGGACGGAGCTTTTGATGGGGACCGGGGGGTGGCTGTGGTTGTGGCGGGTAAAGATGGTAGGGTGGTTACAGCGTCGGGATTGAGATGTGACAGTGCGGAAGAAGTTGAGGAGGTGGCGGTTGCAATGGCAATTTCTATCGAGGGTGTAAGGAAGGTATTTAGTGATGCAATGGGGGTTGTCAGGCGCTTCATGAATGGAACGGTGAGTGAGAGGGCTAAGAGGTTGATCAGTGTGAAGGGACAAGTGGAACTAATATGGAGCCCTGCACATGAGGTGGGGAATGATATGGCCGACTGCTGCGCCCGAGGACTCTTAGGCCGGGCTTCGCAGGAGGGGTCGTATGTGCCGGTGGGTTATGGAGAGTATCTTGAATGTTGCAGACGGGATAGGAGGAGGTTCCCGGAACCTCACAAGGATTTGTGTCGGGAGAATGCGGTGCTTTTTAGGCAGTTGCAGGTGATGTGTGTGTATACCCCGGTGTTGGGGAGACATGTGGACCCAGGGAATTTTGAGAGTGACTTGTGCAGGGTATGTAAGGACAGTCGGGCAACGCTGCAGCATATTGTGTGGGACTGTGAACAACGGGGGCATGAGGCATCGGGGACCCAGGACTGGCCGGAGGACTTCAAGGATGGTGTGTGTGGACTTGGAGGGACAAAGGGGTTTCGTCCAGCGAACCCGGCGCTTGCTTCACCGGCAGACTGTGCGTAGGTGTGTTGGTGAAGGGGTGACGGAGGGGTAGGGGTTTTCGCAGGACCAATAAAGAGGTTTTCCACCACCAAAAAATTTGAATTAATTATGTTGATTATGCACATTCTTGGTCCAAATAACGTGCAGCACGGTAACAGGCTTTTCACCGCGTAACAATTCTTTAATAACGTTTCATTTGCTTTATATCCCGACAGTGAAAACAACAAAAGCTTTCGACAGCTGTTCGACCCTATGTTTGTGAAGTGTGATAGCCGAAAATATACATACTCAGCACGATTTCTCAAGCAGTCTTCTGCCTTCTTAAACAGGATTCCAGGGATACATACTACCAGAAAGTGTGGCGCATGGCACAAAAGCACAAGGGAAGCCAGCCACCGGCCGTCGTGCTGTCGGAGACCTCACTGCGCGAGGTCGTTGTCGGCAAATCTGTGCTCATCCTTAGTCGAGCAGCTGCAGCAGCGCGGGCCACGATTGCATGCTCCAATTCTACGGTCGGAGAGTACTACGTGGGAGAGGAGCCCACGTTCTATTTCAACTCTGTGTTCTACCTGAACAAAAGGATGCCACTGGAGAGGCAACAAGCCATCAATAGTAGGTAAGTCTGATTGTCGCATAGCTCGGGATTATTTGTAAAGAAGGTTGCATCGACGTCAGACAGTATTGGCAAGGTGGAAAATTGGGGCGGGGGGGAGGAAGGGGGGGCGTGCAAAAAATAAATGTTGAAACCTTTCATTACAACTGTTAGAATCCATCGTGAATGCATATTTGGTGTTTTCGAATTTCGTTTTTCTTATACTTCATTTGCATGTTTGTTGAATCCGAAAACGGATATACGTCATTTCCTTTTGTAATACACGGGTTCAGAGTCGCAGCACGCGAACTCTGATCGCCGCTGTGGATGAAAGAACACGTGTGGCAAAAAAGAAAAAAAATCTCCAAGTTTATTTTTTTTAATGCGTTAGAATTAGAACGCACGTTTTGACGAAGTCCAGGCGGTGTCTGTCAGTTTGTCAGCACCGGGGAGAAAGTGAGAAGGTGGGAGAAAAGGTGACGCGTGCGACGCTCCCATGGGTTCAATGCGCTGACGTCGCCGCGCGTTACCGTATTCCTCTTCCTCTCCACATGTCCCCGGAGCCAACAAACGGACAGACGCGCAGCAGGGTTTTCTTCAAAACGAGCGTTTTCGCCTTCGCCTTCGTCGAAGCAGCGTCCCACAGCTGGCGCGAAGCCAGAGAGGAGGAGGCGCTGCGGCACAGTAAAATGAAAGCGTGCTCAGTGCCGCTCTGAGGCCGCCTGATGTTCTTCGCTCGGGGTTTTCGACGTAGCTGTGGGTGGGCTGTGATGTGTGTGTAGTTAAAACGATGGGTGCGGTTCGTTCCACAAGTGATATAGATGCGGTTCCTTTCACGAGTGGTATAAATGTGGTTCTTTACCCGCGTGATATGGATGACGGTATCAAGGCCGTCGACGTACTCTTACAGGCAGAGTGCAAAAAAGCGGTGAAAAAAATTAAAGTGAGACCAATTGCTGGAATCCTTAGAGAATGCGTTAGCACATGACACTCAGAAAAGACACACACGTTTCCCTTTGGTGAACGTTAACATTGACCCCATGACGAGGCCAAAAATTAGGCAGCAAAAATGGAGGAAGCAAAAAATAAAACCAAAAGAGAAAACAAAAATAGAGGAGTGAAGGGGTCAGCGTTTGCGTTTCCCAAAGAAAGACGCGTATGGCGTTTCACAAGGATCATGCTCACGCATTCCCTGAGAATCCACCAAGGAATTTTACTTGAAGTTTTGTTTACAATAGAGCTAGCTTTTCGATTAAGCACGTATCAGTTCTGTCACGGTCATCAACAAACCATTCAAGACACTGTCTATTGTAAAATTGATCACTTAAAAACCTGAAACTTGGAAGAAGTAAAAAGACACAAACAAACCAATTCGCTGCGTTTCCTTTTAGTAGTCATTCTTCTAACAGTATGCATTATTCAGTAGCTAAAAATAGGCTTCGGCACTAGCCCGTGTGCTTTGTAGGGATCTCTATCCCACGATCATATTTACTGCCTACCATGTCTCCAAACGCTCCTGATGTGCACAGGCTGCATAAAACAAGCATGGCTTAGAAGCAGCAAAACAATACAGGGTGAAACAAGGAGACGCCAGGCTCTTTAAATCGAACGGAAAATTCGGTTTCTTAACCTCTCGCGCTACGACATTGTGCAGCGTTGCCCACAGATGGTACATTTTTTTTTTTTTGTAAAATTTGCGAAGAGCGAACTTACCCGAGGAAAAAGTAAAGAAAGAAAAAGGGTTAGCTCCTACGGAAACGCAGCGACGCCACCGGTCTGCAAACAACACGGCGCCGTTTCGCACGGGAGACGAGAGATGGCGCAAGCGGTCGCGGCGCCAACTGCCGCCAACGAACGAGCAGACGACGCCGAAAGCCGGCCCTTTAGCAGACAAGGAACTGCACTTCCTTGCTGTTACCGTGCCTGTCTTTTTTGTTTCTTCAACTGTCGCCGCCTGCGGAACGCGCGCCGCTTTCGAGTCGAAAAGGTCGTCTGCTAAAAAGGCCTGCACTCGGCGCCGTATGCTCGTTCGTTGACGGCGTTTGTGGCGCCATCTTTTGTCTCCCATGCGAAACGGCGCCCTGTTGTTTGCAGACCGGTGGCGTCGCTGCGTTTCCATAGGAGCTAAGGCTTTTTCTTTCTATACGTTTTCCTCAAGTAAGTTCGCTCTTCGCAAATTTTACAAAAAAAAAAAAAATGCACCATCTGTGGGCAACGCTGCACAAAGTCGTAGCGCGATAGGTTAAGAAACCGAATTTTCCGGTCGATTTAAAGAGCCTGGCGTCTCCTTGTTTCACCCTGCACAACTCAAAATAAAGTAGCCTAAATAATTGTTCTCGAGAGCAGATGTTGATATTATTGTTCATGTAGTCGAAGGCAGCGCAACTATTAAAGCCATCCAAGCATATATGATTTTTATGAAGCTTATCATTGAACTTTCTTAACGCACTGGCGAAATAGCTGACGTTAAGCTACATTGGCACCACTTTGTGACCTGTTTTCCATCTTTTTTTCAAAGGATTTTGTGGCTCCGTGATTCCGGCCTGGTGGAAAAATGGTGGAAAGATTCGTCAGGCCACTGGAAAGGCTGCGGTCAGACCATCAGCGACGGAAACATCTCCTTCTCGGATTTCAAGGAACTGCTTCTGTTCTGGATGGTCATGCTAGCCGCGTCAACTTGCGTTTTCGCCGTCGAGGTCTTAAGCAACCTTAGCTATCGGATCCGCCCGGCCATTTGCAACCGCGATGTCGCTTTCACAAATGCGCAGGCGGATTAGTAGTTTCTTCAATGCAGTACCACATTCTCGATGCAATTTTCCTAATAGCTTTCTAGACAAGCACAGTGTCGGCATTAATTGCAAACTTTGAATCGTATGAGAATGGAAGTCAAAAGAGTTCAAACAAAGCAAGATGCACTGTTGGCATGCGCTTCTTGGCAAAACCAAAATCATTGGGCATCCACTGCTTCACGCCGCACCTTTTGCGTGATGTAAGAAAAGAAACAATAAATTCCGTTATCAGGCGTTTGCGCTGTCCACGTAATATTGAACGCTTCATAGCCTCAAAGTATGCCTCGAATAGGCAAGGAACACTGAGGTAACGTGCCGCCTTTCACATCGTTTTCCAAGCGGGGGAAAGTCGAATAGGTTCTATTAACAGGCTTCATTCTACATGAAAAGACTTAGATCGTAAATTCTACTGTTTGAGAATGTTGTCACTAAAAGCTCAGACATATCGATGGTACCAGATATAGGCCCTAGATGTAGCTGCTTTCAAAAATGTAAGTTACATTTTATGCTATTTTCACAAGTTATAACTATCGTTCTTTTTAGGAGTAATATATGTTCACCCTTAATGAATGATTTAGCATTTATCCAATTTGCGTCTACTAAACTTTCCAATTTTTACTATTTGAAGTTTATAGAGTTTATTTTGCTATGTATGAAATTCGGCAAACTTTTTGATAAATTTTGATGGAGCGAGAGAGTCTGCCACTACGCACAGAGGCCGCTACCGACCGCCCAAAGTGGACAACGTCCAAGGCGCACAACAGCTCACGAATAAGGCGCGAGAGCCTATAAAAGTGGGGACACGCGCACAGAAGGGATGAGACGGACCGAGGTCATGGAGGCATGCAGGTCGAACGCTACGGCCATGTTATACTTCAGTACTAACAGCCCTTTGCTGTTTAAAGCGGTAGAGAAACGAAATTCCAGCGCTCATATAGCTTTAATGTGTTGCATGTTGCAGCACAACCCCAAAAACACAAGGCTTGCGTTGAAAGGCACAAGCAAAATAAAGTTCGAGCTAATTAAACGATTTTTCAATGTGCACCTGGTGGATACTGGCAGAGCGTATTTGGGAGGTAATATAGCAACGTTGGGGAACTTGCTACGTAGTCATGACGTGGCAAACTCCATCGGAGCAGCGCCGCTCTTTGGAATTTCAACATTTTCCATCTTAGCCCTAGTGAAAAAAGTCATTTATATGATAAATTTCTTGTGTCCAATAAACACATATGAATCATACAATATATATAAGAACATATAGGAACCATATGAGAGCTATATAAGATATGTAAGAGCCGTATAATAAATATATAAGGAACTTCTCACAAGTTTCTTATATGGTGCTTGCGTGTTCTTATATATCGTATATAGCTCTTATATAGTTCTTATATGGTTCTCATTTCGTTCTTATATGTTCTTATATATCTTTTATGATTCATATGTGTTTATTGAACACGAGAAATTTCTCATACAAATAAGAATTTTCAATAGGGAGCTTTCCTCCTCAACTCACAAGTCGCGCATTAAACCAAACAATCCAAGAAGACGAAAAGGAGGGACTCCCCTCTTTCTCGGACCCTCGTTTGTGCACCCGGATACAGCCATTTTCCCCCTAGAAGATAAGCCAGTCGATCATAATTTGGACAAAAGTTGGTTTTCCCAGCCCGTTCACCCCTAAGCTGACAGTGCTGTGGAAGCTACGCGCTCCTTGGGCCAGCCACATGCTCGTCGGGTACTTCGAATGGCTCGGTTGTAACGCGTTGACGCTATTGACACCGCCACAACGCTGAGATCGCCACCAACGGCAAAGCTCGTAACCACGCGAGCCTTGCTACGCCACGATCACGAGAAATTTTTTCTTTCTGTTTTTGATTGCGTCGGATATCTCACGACGCATCGCTGTCTCCGTTCGCTTCTCTTGGAGCGCTTGCTCGAGTGCGCCGTTTGGAACGAAAAATATAGTCAGTCGTTCAAAATACAAGCGTGCGATTATCAATTACGGTTATTATTCGTCATGCTTGACTCATTTCCGAACGAAATTTGGATATTTAAATTTTTGTTTCTTTACCCCTTTAATAAATGTAGTTTCTTGTTTTGGAAACCCTGGCTTCGTGTTGTTCCTCCTGGATGGGCATGCAGCAAGGCCACCCTACCGCAATGTAAATAATGCTGAACTGGAAAACTGCCTCAAAAATACGTGGACCCGAGAAAGAAAGGACAAGACCAAGCGCTACTTACTACTAAACGTTTATTGAAAACACACTCACTCGTGTGCTTTCAATAAATGTTCAGTTAGAAGTAGCGGTGGTCCTGTCCGTCCTTTCCCGTGTCCAGGTATGTTTAAGGCACTTTTGCGGCTAAACATGTGCAACGTTTTAATAATCATACCTAAAATACCTCCGCTCGAGGTTTCCTCACACGCCTTCACGTCGTAATTCTTGCTCCACTTTCTCCAATCAACCCGTGAAATAATCTGAGGATAACATCTCGAAAGCGTGCCGGCAGAAGCGATTCCGCAACTTCAGATGACAACCGGTGCTCAACGTCCGTTTGGCGCAAAATGCACCTGCCGGAATGTTGCCATCGTTTCATCCTGACTACCAGACATCATAGCCGACAATCCTCGGGGCTTACGTCCTAGTAAATTGTGTGGTTGCCTAGTAAAAGGGGTGGCCGATGCCCCTAACTTTCCTCATCACGTTCTCGCCGTGAAGGCTGTCATTGAGGACGGATTCAAGACTATTCACAGGCCGGATCGCCTCTTAATCCGGTACACTTGTTAGGTGGAAAGTCATTGTCTTCCTTTGTTATCTGTTACCTCTGCTTAAAAGCAGAGAGGGGTGTTCCAGGTTTCTTTATCAGATCCCCGCAAGTCAGGTGGACCGGGATGACTTGTCGCAACAGGCTCAGCTTCTTGTTCAGAACCAATAGAGGCGTGGCAGGGATAATCTGTAACGCGTTCGCCAGGTACATTTTGTCATTGAGCTGTCTGGGACACCTGGATGCTTGGAATTGCCGACAAGGTTTCAATTTGTTATGGTGAACAACTATCCACTTGCATCTAGAAGCCTCAAGCTCCATTCGAAACGTAGTTTCTTAAAGTTTCTTGACAACAATATAAGGTCCCTGCCAAGGCAGTTAGAGCTTCAAGGATTTACCCCGTTTCACGACGGGGCAGTGAAGTTGAACTTTGTTGCCAACGTAAAAATCCATTTCATGGACGTTGAGATCGTAATATTGTTTCCGGCGACGCGACGCTTCGGCGCTATGCAGTGTAGCAGCCGCATGTACTATCCACAAGGTTCTTTGAGTTTGCCGGACATGCTGCCTTGGCGTGCTAAGGACATGTTTCATTGCACTTGCTAGAATATCTGCTGGCAGCTTCGCATCTCTGCCGAATAGAAAGTAGTGCGGAGTGAACCCTGTCAACTCGGGGGCACTTGACCGGTATGCCATCATGACCAAAGGAAGTCGAAGGTCCCAATTTGTTTGTAACTGAACGAAATAGACGCTCAGCCACGACAAAACTGTCCTGTTAAAACTCTCTAATAACCCGTTTGATTGTGGGTGATACGCAATTGTTTTTATTTATTTTGTTTTGTATTCCGAGCAAGTTACAAATTTATCCAAAAAGTCAGCTTTCGAACGTCCTTCCCTGGTTCGAGTGAAAACTTCTAGGGACGCCAAGCCGACAAAAAAAAAATATGAACAAGACAACCGGCGACTTCTTGACACTCATGGGACTTCAATGGAAAAGCCTTAACCTATCGCGTGAAACAGTGCAATACGACCAGTATGTACTTGCTCCCTCGTTTTGTAGTTAGAAGCGGTCCTGTGATGGGGGTTCAGCGGTCTGCGTGATGAGTGGAGCTTTCGGAGTGTATTGGAGAAGCTTCCGCGCATTACATTCGCTGCAATTTGAGCCCCACAATGCATTGTTATCTGTCACTCTGGACCAGAAGAATCTTTCTCTGACGTTTTGCAGTGTCTTCGTTTGGCCGAGATGTCCTCCTGTTGTGGCGTCGTGTAAAATGCGTCCTAATACCAATAATGCAAAGGAATGCAAATCTCCCGTCATGCTAAAAGTCAAAACTACTCCAAATATAACATTGTGTATGATTTTTGCTGGAACAAGTGAGGTCCTACTAGTAAGTCACACAAAAACGAAATAGCTCCAAGCAAGCGAGCGTTTGTTTTCAGAGGAGTGCTGATATCGGGACTCGTCACATGTGAAGCAGACAGGAGGGAACTAATCAACGCAAAGAAACTGATGTTAACAACAACGTCTTTTTAGTGTGATCTAATTAAAGGGGGAAGAACGGCCGCTCGCTTTTAGCAATTTAGTTTCTCGTTACTGTACTTAGTGGTCCTTATCACAGCTTACCTCTCCTGGCAAACGTATATTGCCGCGCGCGCAGCTGGCCAAGTAGGCAGCGCGCGCGTGGCCTAACGGTTATCGCGCATGCTTTCCACGCTAAAAACCAGGGTTCGATTCCTGGCCGTGGAGGCGCATTTTTGTTGACTCTGTAAAGTAATGTTCTGGTAAGTTCGAGAACCATGTTTGGGGCTTGTTCGAGTCAGCACGCCGAACCTTCTACGCCGATTATTCCAGAAGCCCACACGTGTACATAAGTGGCTCCGCGTGGCGATCTGCATTCAGTCTCGCCCAAGCGTTCGACTCTGCTGTTACGCCGACTTCGACGCCCGCGACACTCTGTTATTATCTTCTGTATCCTTTTATCTTTTGCACAAGCTCGCCACATTAAACGTTTATTTCTTCCTGTTTATTTTATTGTTTTTTTTTTGGTCACCACCCGTGACATTTTGGTGGAAATGCGGGGTAACCGCAAGCCCGTGCAGCGCTCCCCTCCGAGTTCCCGCAGTGGAAGTCCGAACACAAGCCCCCAAGAACAAAACGAAGACCAGACCGAGATCTGATTAAGTCGCCGGAACCTTGGCCTGCCCCCAGAGTTAGGACCCTCGCCTCCCAGGACCAGGCAAACAAGGAGGACGACGATGGCCAACCAGTCGGAGACCC